CAATTCTTAGTACTAAATGTTTCACTCTCCACTGTGTAAATCAATGAATCTTTTCTTTGAATAGTTGCTTCATCTTCCCAGTGAGAAAACTGAGGCTCAAAGAAAGTAAATGCCCAAAGTCAGTGCAGAGAAGTGGCAGGACAGGAACCTAAGTCCTTTTTACTAATTTTATGGATCCTTCCAGTGCCCTAGACTTGGCAGAATTTCTACCCAACTTGTTTGTCTATTTTCAGTCTTGAAGAATGGAATGTGAAAAGTAGATGTTCTATTCTTAAACAAGGAGCTATGATACAGTAAATCTTCTAGGTTCTCTTATAACCACAACTTCATACTCTGGTAACCCAACTTCATACTCTGGTGAAATATATGAGTTGACTTTCTTTAAAGAGGCAGAAATTGCAGCAATTTTAATGTCAAAGTCCCTATCTCCAAAGCAACGGATTCTGATTGGGGTGTGGGGGCAGGGTGAATGGGAGGTCCTCTGACCTTGGGGCAGCTGCCATGGTCCAGCTCAGGTGTCACCCCGAGCAGCTGCCTACTTAATCCACCAAATAGGAAGACATTTCTCTGGAAATCCCTGTTCCCTGAACAGCTCCCCTTAAACACTTTGGACAAATTCTTCCACACAAGGCCACTAAGCCTCATTAGGGAGGGAGGAAGGGGAACAGGAAGGGTCTTTCTTTGTTGCTGCTCCCACTTCTGGAAAAATCTAACTGCCACATATATCCCCAATAAAATACTCAACTGTCTATGAATGTGGGTGGTAGGAGTCGTCCTTGTCTTAGCATCCAGGTGTAATTTGCATGTAAGTTGTATAGGAAGTTCAGGAAGGGCAATGGAGGGAAGCAGACTGGACCCAGAAATGGCCACACAAGGCATGCCCAGGAGGTAAGGCTCACAGAGATTGCTTTCCAAGGGCAGCTGACCTGCCTTCTTCCCACCTTATTACTGCCCTGTCCTCTAAGATTGACTAGGGTGTGATGTCACCTTTTCAAAAAAAAAATGTAGGGGCGCCTGGGTGGCTCAGTTGGTTAAGCGACTGTCTTCGGCTCAGGTCATGATCCTGGAGTCCCGGGATCGAGTCCAACATCGGGCTCCCTGCTCAGCAGGGGGTCTGCTTCTCCCTCTGACCCTCTTCCCTCTCGTGCTCTCTGTCTTTCATGCTCTCTCTCTCAAATAAATAAATAAAACCTTTAAAAAAATGTAAACATTAATACATGAAGTAGATCAAATGTTATTTCCCCCAAACTCTCTTTGCATTGACTGAACATACAGCAGGTATGGCCTAGAAAGGTGGAAACTTAAAGGGCAATTTTGCAGCTAAAGACCAGTTCGTGTCCAGGGGATTTCACGGGGTTTTCTGGGAGAAATAGGATGTTACAGGATTCAAAGTGCATCCTGCAGAAGAGTCTCTCTTCTGTGGAATTCAGTTTTGCCACAAGGCTGAAGCCAAACCTTGTTGAGAAATTTATTTTTTTCAAGAAAGAGGGCGGGGAAGGCAACAATGCTTGTCTGATCTAACAAAAAGCAGAATCCCAGTTTGCCACTGATGGGGATTGCCTGTGCGATTAGGTGAAAAGAGAAGGCACGGGATAAAGTGGAGATTGTATGGTATCAGAAATTAAGGCAGCAAAGGCAATGGCAGGTTTCACTGTGTGAATGGCTGTGAAGAAAGCACCTGGAGACAGAATATTTGCCTTCTTAAAAGTCTGAAGGTGACTGAAGTGAGTTTACAGATCAGTAGGTAAGCCTGAAATGCTTGAGATTCTCAGGCAAGCTTATTCCCTGACACATAGTAAAGAGAGGTAAGACCACCCGGGAATCAAGGAGAGCTTCTGTATCACATCCTAAATGTCCAGGGAAAGACTAAGGATAAAGTGTGAAGTTCTAATAAGCTAACCTTGCATTGGACAAATACTAATTTAGTGAGTTGGGTTCTGAGGTGGTGAAAGTAAAGCAGGCCTGCAAATAATCCACAGAGGCCAGGAATCTGATACTATGGTGATGTCTCTATTGATCTGTCCATATTCTTTGCAACAGTGAATGCCAATCACTTACTCCAGAGTGCTCCCATCTGTCTCACCCTTATCTTAGCAGACAGGCATGTGAATGTTGGGGTACATGACATGGGCTCAGTGGATGGCGGAAAAGAAGCATGACTCTCCCCCTGCAGCCTCAGAGAAGCATTCTATGGCAACAAAGCCCCAAACCTGAATTCTCAGAATGTAAACTGAACTCTTCAGACAATTATTCAGATCCACAGTTATTCATGATATTCCCATAAAATATGCAGTTTTCTCTCTCCCCCATTTGCCCCACTGAGTCCATGGCCAATGCTTCCACCCACTGCTCTTTGTCACAAATCATGAGCAGACTCTAAGGACACTAGGGACATTTTGGGTACACAGGTTTCTGGCTATTAGACATTGGGAGCAGATCCTAGTCACCCACTGGTGACATCACAGGGACCCATGGAGATCCTACTGTCATTGCTGAACGGACAGCTAATGAGGCAGAAAGGAACTATGATGGGAGCTTCCAGAAGAGTCAATGTCAACGCAGGATAAAGTCAATTAGTCAGAAATAGCTGAGGCCTTTCAGCACCAGTCACCCTGAATTGCTTTTGAGCTACAGGCACAGGGAGCTGGGCCTCAGGTCCAGCACGGTCATTTACTCAAAAGTACAGGAGGTTTGAATCTTTAAATATTATTAAACTGATAATCTTCAAAAGGCTGTTAAAGGAGTAAGATGTCAGTTCCTATGCAAATCTTGTAACAGTCATTAAGAAAAGGCTTGGCTATGAGAAAGGCATCTCAAAAATAAAGGCTGTTGGTTTTATGACTTTTCTTTGGTTCTCATTCTTTATGTCTGGTGGATGAACATTGATCTTCTTGCTTTTTATTCATTCAGATCTCACCTGGCTGAAATCCCCTTGATGGTGCTGCACCCAGGATACCTTTCTCTCAGAGATCTCCTCTCTCAGGAAAGACTTTAGAGTCTGAGAGTTCAAAGAGAACTGAGAAGTCACCCGGCCCACCTGCCCACCAGCGCAAGAACTGCCTGCGGATCTTTGACAGGAGTCATCCGGCCACATCCTGGGTGCCTCTGGTGTAAGCAAATGAAATGTAGCTACTAAATCTATGGAAACCATATATATTCCTGAACTAGTCCTTTGCTGGTCCTCCCTCTGCTTTAAGAGCAGTGAATCCTCACAGCACTATTGACGCCTTTTGAAACTGGCCTCCCCTCATGGCCCTTTTGGAGGGTTCACTCTTTCTGGATTACTGAATAATTGCCCACTGAGTCACTGTTCTGAGTCAGGATTCCCCTCCATGCAGCATTAGACAACGGAGCAATTCTCCTCAGGAAGGCACCTTGAGGTGATTGCACCGTAGGGAGCTTGAAGCCATGAGTATTATCTAGAACTTGGTTCTTGTTCAATGGCTGAGCCTCAAAGTTGGGGAGAAATTTATCTCTAAGCCTATAGAGTAGGAACATTATGGAAGAAACCGCATGAGATGTTAGTGAAGGGAAAAGAAAATATTTCCTACCCATTAAAGCAAAAATCAAGTACTGAATCTGACGCCAGATGTAGTGAAGTATAAGAAAAGCCAAAAGTGCTAGGCAGATTGCTAACTCCTGTGAGAAAACAAGAAGAAAGCTTCACTGATATTATCACAAATAATATTTTTCAACATCATTTAGATGGATTTTGTGTTTTGGCTTGGAGCCATATTACATGCTACTATTATGGGGTTTTGCACCACTGTTTTCAGAAAACAGCTCCTTCTGACTCCAACTTCCACTAAATATGTAAGAAATCCAATTAACTTTCTAGAAATAAAGTTTCCATAAATTTTCTAGAAAACTTTACACTCCACTTTTTAACCGAAAAACTACCTCAAAATGTTTCCTCACACCAAACAATTCTTTTTGTCATTTTTCATTTGTGAAAATAAATATATGACACAAATGCATGTTTCTTTCAGTTCACCAAAAATAATTTCCCTTTATTACTTCATGAAATTAAGGTTCACTTGAACAGATACAGTCAAGACAATAAGTAACTTTCTGATTTTTGAAAAATGCCATTTGTTGTTCAGAATCACATGATGACCCAGGAGCATGGAACCAGGGAGTATTTCTTTGACATCCCATGTCTGGGCAACACTCATAACCACTCATCATTTAAGAATGTTCATGAGTATGGAGCAACCATGAGCATTCTTCCTTGTGAAGAAATTATAGAATATTTCTTCTAGGAACTCTTTGAGCCATGCAAACATCTAACCCATTGTAGGAAAAAGACATGGCCTTCAAAGTACGTTATAAAAAGATATTACGTGACCCTTAAAAAACAAAACAAAACAAAACCCAGTGTAGGAAAACCTGTGCTTTTCTGCTCCCAGCAGCACATGTTTAGGAAGCGCTGGTTTAATCAAGCCAAGACTATCTTTTTCTAGCCATAGCCAGCACACTCCCAGAATCCATGAATCAACCAGAGGTTATTTTCCAGAGCGGACTTAGAACTCAGTTCAAACGTGCTCCTTCACTGTTGCTGGGAATGACACAAAAGCAGGGGATTAGTCTTTGGGAGCCCGGGGAGGACACAGAAAAGGCTGAGCAAGGGCAAGTGGACTTGGCAAAGGGGAACCTGGGCCAGCAGCCTGGCACCGAGAAAAAAGCAGCTTTCGACTGCATGGACTGCAAGCGTCAGGGCCAGGCGTGCTTGGACCCCCTCCCCTGGGACGCCAGGTGTGGAATCACCACATATGGGTAGAGTGAAGTCAATCTGTTTTCTTTTTTGTTTTACCAGCCTTAAAAAACAAAAACAAAAAGCCCCCCACACAAGCCCAAATTGAGGGATGAGCTGTTTTTGTGTTTTTCCCACAGCCAGGGTTTCTTTCTGCCCCTCGGGAAGCCCTTCTTTCTTGCTGTGAGCCCAGCAGGACGCTAGGTGGCGTGGGGGAGCATACGGACACAAGAGCATCAACACTAACCTGAGAAGTAGCTGCAGGTGAACTAGTTTCCTTACCACTCACTGCTGCCCTCTCACCAGCTGCGGCTTCTGCCACTTCTGCCTTCTGCACATTCGGGTCCTCAGAACCGGGAGGCCCTATGTGTCCCAGACCTTCGCTCCCTGGGGTGGAAGGTGGGTTGGTGCTGGCTTGCCGGGTTCGGCCTTTATACCAACTAGGGTAAAACAAGGGATCCGCAGTGTCCGTTGCTGCAGGGACTGGAGTTTCAGACTCTGTGGTCTGCTGAGAGCCAGTGGGGACAACCTCCCCCTTAATCGGGACAGATACATTCAAAAGTAAAAAAAGAGGAGGAAGAAGAAGAGGAAAAAGCAGTTGGTTTTAGTTCCCTTTGGGTTTGAAAACTATGAGCTCTCTGTGCAGTGCCTGATTTAGCGCATGTTCTAGTTCCTCCCGCCCTCTGCAAGCTCTCAGGGAAGGAGAGCAGCTAGCTCCCCTCCCTCTGGGCCCCTTCACGTGCCCCCTCTTCTTTTCTGCGCTTGTCCTTCACCAGATGGTAGCCTGGACAGACAGACAGCAGATGCCTGAAATGAAGTTTGCTTATAAAATATCTGATATAGGAGAAAGGTCAATCTACTGCCCACGATTAATATTTTGACATTCCAGGTGGGCTCCCCAAACCTCTTTTCTAAAATCCCAAATTGATCTTGTTGACCACATCCAACTCTCATTTAGTTACCACACCTCTTTCAAACTCAGTGCGATTGGTATCCCCAGAATTTCAAGATTCTAGGAACCATAAATAGTATTTCAGCCTGGTTTCCTATGGAGACGGAGCATAGAATATAATTCTCTAATTCAGAGTTTCCCCTCTGAGGTTTTGTTTCTATAGATAATTTCAATCCACTTTGAAAGCAGGTGCAAAACCAGGACACCTTTTTGATGAATCTACATTGCCCACAAACTCCACAGGTCAAGACCTCTCAGCTGAAGGTGTCATGACGTCAGCCAAAGGCTTGAAAACTGGACGGTGACATCTTAGAAACTAAGGGTCAGCCAATCAGATAGAGGATTTGGGATGAGTTATCTCCTAGGAAATTTCTATTGACAATTCTGTTAACACATAATCTCATCAGATGGCAGATACATAGAAAATTAGACGTTGTTTCTTTGCCCACTTAATGAAAGATGTAGTTATATGTCAGGGTCAGTGACAGGGACATGAACTAGCATGACTTCTCTATCTACTTCCTTTATTATCTATAGAAAATTCAAAGTTCTGTAGGTATAGTCATTTTTACTTCTCACCTTAGATTATTTCTCACCCTGTACCCCATATCTGTTTTCAGAGCAGACCCAATCTTCATGACATTGGCTCTCTAGGAACTAACATGTTACACACATACCCCTCTCCCCTGCACAGAGATTTCCAAACATTGCTTCAGATTTGAGGGTGCTATTGGTGGGGAAATCGTGTTAAACTCGGTCTCACCAACCAATTATAACAACACTGAATCTCGCTGAATCACCTAGAGGACCTCCCCCCTGACGTTGAGACTGCTCTGAATTCTTTTGTCTTTGACTTACAAATGTCTGGACTATAGCTACCCTTTTCTTAAGGCAGAATAAATTGTTTAGGCTAGTCAGCAAGGAGGCACACCTGTGTGTCCTGTAGGAGGGAACTGGTGAATGGTTACCTGTGTCACTGGGGCATCTGCAGCAGGTGGCAGGGCTGGAGGTGACTCTGGAGAGGAAGCTGGAAGTGCCCCTGGGGCAGCCTGGAGCTCTGAGGCCTGCTGAGAGGACTCCAAGGCTTTCTCCGGACTTTCATCTTCTCCTGATGACTCTGTTCGAACATTTTCTACCTCTTCCACTTCTATTTCCTCCCCTTCTCCTTCCCCTCCTTCTCCTTCTTCTTCTCCTTCTCCCTCTTCTTCATCTTCATCTTCTGGTAAGGTAATGTGTTTTTAAAATCATTATAATTATCACTGCAGCTATGAAATCAATTAATGGCCAGTTCTTACAGCCCTGAATAAGGTCAGGGCTAGGGAAATCTTCTCCATCAGACACTGGACTATGGCCCAAGTATGCCATGCTGGGGCTTGTGCTTCTAGGTAAACGTGGACAGGAGAAATGGGAGGACAGGCCCAACCATCTTTGTTCCCCTCCCCCGTACAAAGTACAGTCCTTACTACTACCGTGAACTGTGCACCTGACCGCCCCCCCCCTCCGGCCCTGAGCCTGGTCACCTTTACACCATATTCTGTCACATCTGCAAGCTCCTGGAGGGCTGGGGCTAGGATGGTCACTTATCTCTGTCAGATTAAATAGAAATGCAACTGTCTTCCCTTTCTCAGAAAACATACAAAACCCTGTCTTGTTTTAATGTCTTACCTCCTCTGTTCAGTGAATGCTGACTTTTGCCACAGTTAATGCCGTGACTCTTTTCCTAACACATTGATCTTGATATTCCCTCAGGCAATATTAAGGAGAGACAATATTAAGTTATTTTTTAAAAAAGATTCACCCTGAAGACTTGCTTCTAAAATTACATCTGTACACACTGATAGAGCTTCATGGTTATTAGTGGTCTAGCCAAGGAGTCTTGTCATCTAGATGGGCTAGGATGAATCAAGACAATCAAAATTTTGGTCAGTTCCAAGGTTATTTTCCTTTTTTCAATTATTTCATGAGGACACATTTCCAAGAAGGCGATCTCTGGACCAAATGGTAGAGATGCATTTATAACTCATGAAATACAGCTGGTCACAGAGAGCCAGTATTGTTTCCAGGTGTGACTTATTCTGTGACTCATTTGCTATTCTTGCCCTCCAAAGTCTGATTAAGTGGACGAGCTACAATATTTATCCCAATGTCTTCTACATTTTATTTTTATCTCATCCTTAACCTTGCACTTCATGACACTTCACATCATTGTGGTTAACACCTTGTGTAGGATTGATCTTGAGCCATCATCATCACCATCAACTATTAAGTATTTGACTACTCAGAGTCAAATGCCCAATAATGGCATTGTAATGGGCACTGTGCTGTGCAAAGCTAAATAAACACTGTCAACCAACTACATGAATCTGTAATGAAATAGAGTTTCACATTGGATTATGATCCTTGTATAATTGTCGACATCCATTCTGGAGGTGATTCTGAATCCCGTCTTTCTCCTGCTGAACCCAGCTGCAGCTCTCACACACCTGCAACTTTGTCCAAATGGTCACAAGAAAAACAAACCTCTGTAAAAATCAATTTCACGGATGATTTTTTCTTCTCTATTGAGGTTGACTGTGAAGTGGTTCATGTTCTCATAACCATGTTCTATTTTCTCCATCTGAAATGCCTTCGATGCTTCAGAAATTCTGCAACAAAGACAAGTTGCCACTTTCTGTCACTGTCTAATGTTTGATAGCCTTGGGTAAAAATGAAAAGTATGCATTTTTCCATAAAATGAAAATTACTTACTTTTGTAACAGGGTTTTGGCATTCTGCGAAAGCAAACAAAAGACAGACCTACTTAAATTCTTTTCATCAAAGACTTAATTCTTTCCTCTGCTGACTCTGAAAATCTCAGAGCTTAGTTTCTAAATGCCATAAATTACTGCTGTTTTATACCAGAACCCTCTTATATTTAAGTGATGTCATGGTCCCTTAAATATATGCTTATGAAGTTGTTTAAAAAGATGGAGACATGAACACATAATGAGCTTGTATTTTACTTGGTAAAATAAATCGAAATGAGATGAATATAAAATAACAAAAATATGATGACAACTACTTCTCCAGCACCCACCTTCTTGGTTAGTTCTATTAGGTACCAAAAGGAGACTTACCTGCAGAAACACTGCCATTTCTGGCTCATCCATGAACTGGATTCCTGATTCAACCAACTTTGACACGTTTTCCAAATGATCAGAATACTTTTTGATAAGAGCGCGGACATGTTCCAGTTTCTCCTCTTGGGTTCGGGTAATGACTTGCGTCATTTCATTTTTCCTCTCCTCCAGGATGCCATACAAGTAATCAAACTTCTCACAAAGTTCCTGTTTCTGTTTTCTGCAGCATTCCTGTTAGTTGGGTTAGCTCATGTTAGAAAGTGTTTGAAAGAGTGCCTATTTGGAGAAATCACCTGGAATGTTTTAGGAGATAAGAAAATGTATTTATATAGGGTATTTTTTTCCTTTCCTTGAAGCTGTCCCTTAATTATAGATTCCCATTGTTTTGATGCTTTGAAAAGCTCATATTTATCAAATTTTATAGACAAGCCAAAATCAACCAAATTGGCTAAATGGATCAATGATTTTTCACTATGTTCTTTATAAGTGGAGAATTTCATAGAAATTAGGACAGGTTTTTTAAAAAAATCATGTATTGGTTAGATAGCTTATAGTTTTATATTTTGCCTTCGAGTGAGTGTGTGTATATGTACGTGTGTGTAAGGAAAACACCATGGTACTTCCTGGTTTGTACCCTTCAGTCTCTCTCTGCTTCACCTACACTATTCCTGTCCTAGTTTCCGTCCTCCCATGGAGATTCTGAGGCTTCCCATTGGCCTCTGCCTCTGGAATTTACTTGAAGCAAACCCATACACTACAGCCAAATTCATTTTCCTGGAGTACATTTCCCTGGGGTATGGTGCTTTTTCTCTGACTACTCGTTGCCCAGAGAATAATATTTAAACTTCATAACTGACTTTCCAGCTTCTCCATGACCTGGTTCCAGCTTTCCTTCATAATACTGTACTGTTCTTCATCACATACCCTGTATCCAGCAAAAACCACTCACTTTCTTTGTTCATCATTTCCCCTCTGTTTAGAATGTTCTTCCCCAATTCACAGTTGCAAACTCTAAGTAATCTTAAAGACATTGTTGGAATACCACTTCTCCCATAAAATGTTCTTTGATCTCTATGACTGAATGCCATCTTTTAGTTCTTCTGAAATCCGATAATAGTGACCATCGATGGCATACACCTCTATTCACCTAGTCTCTATTTATCCAATATTGTCTAAGACAGGGAAATACTGGATTTGGTCTTTGATTCCCCGAGAGAAAGGCTGTATAGGAAATCAAACTTGCCCATTTGCATTGTGTGGCTGAAGCATCTCCAGTACCATTTAACTTCCTTCTCTCTGAGTCCATGTTTAAATCATAATTAACTTTCCAGTTGGCCCGGTCATTGGCCTTTTGGTTTTTCAAGCTCCAGTAAGCTTGATGTGTATATATGCCAATTTCCTTGGACCTGACCATCTCTGGGTCCAGGACCTTTACAGCTGAGAACAGGCTTTGAGGCACAATGATCCAACATAGCTCTCCTTCCCAATGGGGTCTTCTTGGGAATCCAGCCAATTTATCTGACATTTCTGACTTTTGTGACCCTTATTATGTGTTCTTTCATTTTAGTAAACACTGGTCATTTAGGTGTCAAGTATCACTTTTTTCCTATATGTGAGTTTCTTAAATATCTAAAGTATAGTCTCTTTAAGGATAGAATCTGGGTCTGCCTAGGACATATACCACTTTGAACAACAGACGTTCAGTATATATGTGTTGAACAGGTTTTTTTAAAACTGTGTTTCATTTTCCCCAATTTCTCTACTGTTCTTAGAGTAAGGGGAAAAAATGGATAACCTAAACCAAATTGTTGATTATGAAGATACTCCACAAATATGCAGGAAATACACCTCTCCCTCCACTGCCTCCCTTGGAACACAGTCAATTCTCATCATACTTTCTGGCCAATAATAATTCATGAAGGAGATCCAATGATTCTAACCATTTGAGTAATAATTACCAGTTAATGCTGTCATCCACCCATCCATTCATTCATTTAGCAGTCAATTCTTAAGCGTATCATTTGTGTCAAGCACTAGGCAAGGCTCTGGGGACCCAACAATGAACTAAAACATAATTCCTGTTCTCAAGGAGCTCAGGTCACTGAATGAGAAAGACTATGGACCAATAATATAATAGCAACCTAGTAGGCTGAATAATTGAAATATGTTAGAGATTTATACCAGATTTTATGGAAGCATATGGATGGGGGACATTCACGGGGAGCAGGGGTGGATGGCTCAGGAAAAGCTTCTTAATGGAAGTGATGCCCAGCTTTGGCCATAAAGGATGAGGAGCAGCAGAGGAGGTGTGAGGAGGGGATGAAAATTTGTGGAGCCTTGACAGTTGTCAAGGTAATAGGACAAGGACTCACAAAGCATGTCCAGACATGGAAATCACTGGGCTTGCCAAATTTGCATCCATTTCCAGCCCTTTGGCTTGAGATTTGGATGATTATGAGGCCTCAGAACTGAAGCCTGTTAGTAGCTTCCCAATCAAATGTTCTTTCACTGTATTGCTTTCTGTTTTAAGCTCACAGGAAAACTTGTGCCTACTGCATTCCTGAAATATGCCTCTTTGATGTTCAGAAGCTCTCCTGTTTACTGCAAAATATGATGGCTTCTAGCTTATTTTTCTAAAAGAAATTGTGCACTTAAAACATATATAACAAATAGTAAGATGTGATACTGGTAGAATATTTTTGTTTCTCAAAAGCTTCCTCCTATATGATTCAATATGTATGAGAGCCTTCATGGTCACAAAACCCAAATTATTTATAGTGAGACTGATGCGAAGTAATGTGTCATGGCTAGTGTTTTATTTAGTGGTTAAAATGAAATAACCACTTTATTTTTACATTATTTTCAATTCCAAGTATATTTTATTTCCATTTGTTTTCTAATGGTTTTTACTATATTAATTTTAATAAAATTACTATCATTTTGATAGCAACTATTATTTACTTATTTACAGTGTATGAAATGCTACTCTGTGTGCAGTTTATGCTTGATTATTATTATTATAAGATTAAATGCTGTATAAAACCCTTATAATATTACCTGACACATTATGGGTACTATATCAGTGCTTATTAAATTTAGATCCAATTATCCTTAATTTGTATTATACAGTTGTGGAATTTTGAAGTTGCATGGAATATCAGAAGTAACCTGCTCCAAAGCAATCATTTCACTCATGTGGAAACTGAAGTCCAGCAGAGTTAAATCATTTTCTCAAGCCATTCTGCCATTTATTGTTGATGTCTGGCCTAGAGCCAAGGGTTTTGAACTCCTAGGTTACAACTACTCCTACCATACCCTGCTGTGAGATACTGGAAAGTAACTTGAAAAAAATTTTATGTGAACTACTGTGAACCAAATACATGTCTTTTAACAAATCGACTCTGCAACAAGTAGACTTTTAAAGAAACCTCAAATTGTTTCAGAATTATATTCATTAGTTTATTCCTTCAGCAAAATTCACTAATTACTATGTGCCAGGCATTAGCAGATCTAAAAACCTGCCATAGTTTTTCTGGTGTTCAAGAGAAGGGTAGAAAAATTATTATATTTTCTAACAAAAAAACCTTCACTTCTTTTTTTCTCTTGCTTAATGTGCCTTTAGTATAATTCTATGCAAAATATAGTAAGAGTCAGAAAAATCTGTTTGTGAAATAGGAAAAATATGCTTCTTGGAAGTGTGAAACTCATACTTACAAACTTTTAGAAATGAGCTTAAGATGTTCAGGTTAACCTAATGTCAGATTCAAATGAGAAATACTCCATGAAATTAAAATTGAATTGACTAAGGTGGGCGCCCTTCCATCCTTCTGGACTACAAGACCTTCAAAGTTCTATGAAAGTCAGTTAACAACAAACACCTTGGCTTATCGGCTCATCCTCTGAAGTAATTAGAGAACAGGTATATGCTATGAAAGAAAAATATGCTCCTAGAGGCCAGCTCGCTAGTGATAGTGATTACTCTGAATTTCAGTACCTACTGTGCCTTTGTAAATATGGATCCGAAATGCTTTCAACAGTGACTTTCTAGTAACCTGAAAAATGGAATGGGAAAAATGTGGACTTCTGCTTCATCAAAACATCTGCAGGTAGCATACTTGAAAGGATGATTGTTACCTGCACAAGCATGATAGCAACCATCTTTATCCCTTCTCCACAAAAACGTCCTCACCTCAAAGATTTCTTTTTGCTTTTAACATTCTTTTTCACTTATTTCAGTTAAAAGGCTTGTTTAAAAAAAAAAAGGCTTCAGTAAAAATTCTTGGCTGTGTACCCTCCCCCTACCCCTACTTCTCTGGATAGTAATTGAATCAAGATATATACTTTTTGAACTTTGAAGTTTATTTTTTCAAATATTCTCCATTTTCTTCCTTTTGATATCTGCGGTTCCTATGTCCTGTGTGTGTGTGTGTGTGTGTGTACACGTGCCCCTGTGTGAGCATATTTAGCAGTTGAAAGAACTTCCATCATAAATGCACTAGGTATTTGCTCCAAGCATATTCTGATACATAGCCTCCACTGCAGTATGACCTAACTCCTGGGTCTGCCAGGACAGTTAGAAGAACCAAATAAAAGTTGTCTGTAGTCCTTGAATGAAAACAAGATTCATCCCATCTCTAAGGTGAACCCAGTAGGGAAGCAATATACCAATAAGTGGTGATTTTATAAAGGGAAAACTATGCTGTCCATATTAAAATGGTAAAATGATGACAGGTGGAATATCTGTTTCCAACCAATGTCATAATATCCAGCTAAAAAGAAAAATATCAAGTAATCATTTGGTCATTTCCTTAGAAGTGAGTAGGTAACCTTTAATATTTATCTAAAACCCATTGTTTAGTTCTTGCTTTCATAGAAATGTTAAAACTGACAGACTCTAATTTTTAGCCTCCTTTATCTTTTGGTAGCGATAAGATGCAGTTGCAAAGAGAAGCGTTCCATGGAAAAAATCAACAACAATCTTCTACTAAAGCGTATAGAGCCTGCCACTCAAAGTACCGTCATTCCATTGTTTTTAACGGCCAGATTTTCAGTGGCTCACCTTCTTCCCAAGCACTTATTACTCTCTGAAATGATCTTGTCATTTATTGGTTTTATTGTCTAACTCCCCTCCTAGAACAAAACCTTCCTGAGAGCAGGAATCTTTTCTGTTTAGTTCATCACCACTTCCCAGCATTATGTGTGCAGAATATGGCATAGAGTGCACCCATGAG